GAAAATAATGATGGCAACATATGTACAAGTATGCTTGATACAATCAATACATGGATTTCTTTAAGAGCTATAAGAGCCCCAATAAATGATCTTTATTTATTGAGTTTCTCACAGCCATCTGACAATTCTTTCACCAAAATTTTATAATAGGAATAATTTACAAAACAATTACAACTTGATTTAATAATTCAGACCTGGTTTGGTATAGAATTGTAAGTCTTAAAGAAATGAAACGTCTATAAGCCTGAGTCGCTCAAAAGAGAAGAACTTGATCTCAACGACAAACATGGAGATAAGTTTGCAATGTACAACAGTGTGTGAGCATCTGAAGCACCTTCATCAAACAGCATGGACTAGTCAGTGACCGTGGACAGGATCTGTACTTGAACAGCCAAAGCAACTGAACAAAATGTGGTCATAGGCTATGGTGGTTACATAGCTCACGTCGACCTGAAGATATATAAAAGTGTAGGGGGGCTAACCTGTCAATCAGGCCAGGGGATAGTGCCTCCCTCTGGGTGTGGACTTCTCCTAAGGAGGGTCCTGGGGACCTCCCCTTCTCTCTCTGCCGTCACCTTCCTGCTGGCTGACCCTGATTGTTGCCAGCCGTCCACTGCCATTGGATCCACACACCTGCACACACTGGCCTGTGATCTTCCTGCATTCAGTATCATTGCATGTGGCTGCGTGAGTCTGAAGAGGGACTTCTGGACTCGTATAGGAGTTATGGGCTTGAGTTGGATGGGCTGAGCTGTTTCCTTGGTATAGTTACTTTGTAATATAAAGCTCTTTCTTACACATATATGAGTACCACTGGATTTGTTTCTCTAGTAAGCCCGGCCTAACACACAGGCTCTTCTGGCACCTTTTATTATGGTAAATTTCTCTTACGATTTTGTGAATCAAGGAAAGCATGAGCCAGCCAGGGTGCAGTACAGCACCTACGAAACACACAATATTCCTCTTGTTCTTTAGTGCTTCCTCCCCCACTATCATGACCCCAGTTCTACCTTACAAATCTGGCTAGA